GGGGAGGGTCTGGGGGGGGTTGTTTTTTAAATCATACCAACACGTGCCTTGCAGCACCTGAGGGCAGCTGGAAGAGACTGAAGAGTGAAGGCCGGCCAAGGTAGGTGGGTTTGTTTCTGTCCCTCATGCTGGCTGTGAAGGGTTCTTGGCATGACCTGAGCCCAGAAATACACCTGGGTCATTTCTCAGAGACCTGGCAGGGTTGTGCCTGCACTGGGCCTGGCTGGGTTTGAGTTGATGCTGTTCATGCAGCCTGTACAGTGCCGGTTTGTTTGTTTAGTTTTATTTGTGATCAAAACAGTGTTGATAACATGCTGATGTTTTGGCTGTTGCTTGCATGGCATCAAGGCCTTCTCTGTTTCTCATGCTGCTCCCACAGCAAGTAGGCTGGAGGTGAGTGAGAGGCTGGGAGGGGACACCTGGCACAGCTGTACCAAAAAGACCAAAGGGCTGTTCCAGACCAGGTAACATCATCCTCAGCTGTGAAGTTCAGTAGGGTGAAGGTGGGCTTTCCAAGGTATCAGGCAGCTGGTGGGACATAATGACTGCCTTTGTATAACTTGTTGTTCTTTTCCTTTTTTCCTTCACTTATTAAACTGTCTTTATCTCTCCTCTGGCATTTTTTCCTCATGTTTGCTCTTCCAATTCTCTCCCCTCATGCTGCTGGGGAGAAGGGAGGGGAGGTGGGGGAGTGAGCAAGCAGCTGGTTGATGCTTACTTTCTGGCCAGGGTTAACCCACCACGATGCTAAAGGAGACCCCAGGAATTAACAGGCACATAAGATGGAAAATGTGAGCAAATTGGGGAGTTAAATGCTGATTTATTCTTAAAGAGAAGCATAATTAAACCTGTTGCTCTGTAGTCCAGAAGAAACTCTCTTAATGAAATCTCGTATTTTGTTGTGGGCCTATGTTTTGGAAGAGCTGACTCATAATAGTACTAACACGGTCTTTCATGAGCCAGATGAATAATTTATTAAAGCTGGTTTTTTTCCCCTTGTAGTCAGGTACAACATTTTTATTATTGAGAGTTGGTTCATGTTAACTTTTGTATCTGTTTGGTGCAATATTTAGCTATTAAGTCTCAGTTATTAGTATTACTGTGTTACTAAGGGTGCCCACCTCTTAGGATGCTGTATCTGCAGGTCTCTGGGATGCAAAGATTTGCCTCTGCTTTGTGTACAATGTGGGATTTAGCACTCCGCTGCTAGGTGTGCAGGATTTCTCATGAAAAGCCCAAACACCCTGCCCTGAAAGTGACTGTCTACTGAAAAGAACTTAGAACAGCTAGTTGTCCACAGATGAGTACCTATCTGTCGTGTATATAGGATTATCTAGAACTGCTTTGTGTTAGATTAGAATTCTCTAATCAGAATTGAGGCCGTGTAAGGGCTAGTGAAGTAGTTACAAATGTGCAGTTTTATGTCTCACTTTACATAATTTCACAGAATGTTTCCAAATTTTACAAACTACAGCACATTGCCCTGAGAACTCATTTCCACCAAACCAGGCTGCTAGCTGCAGCTGAGCAGAGCTTGTATTTTAAGAACAAATAGATTTTTAACACCGTTTTGTACCTGTAGTTGTCTTGGCAAAACCTGCAGTTTGAAGCTCAGATATCACGCGTAGATGGGTTCCCAGTGTCAGTGGTTTTAAAAGTTTTCCTTTCTGCTGTAAGAGTGTGGGCAACATTCAGAAGGAAAAGTTTCTGCTTGGGATGAGGGATTTGGAGGAAGAAACAGGATGACTGGCACGTACAGGTTTTGTCCAGCAGCCACCAGTGTGGGAGCCACTGGCAAGGTCTCGGGCCCAAGCCGGTAGCGCAGAGCAGGGTCATGGAGCTCTGGTCTGGGCTCTGAACTGCAGAAGGACCAGGCTGGCAGTGCCACTCCGCACTTTTTGTTAGGAGACCCAGAAGAGTTGCTGCCCAAGAAATAGAGTTCTTCTCAAACCTGCTGCTCTACCAGCCAGATGAAGGTTACACACTGGAATACAGCAGCAGGAAGGGCTGCAGATCCAGGGACTCTACTGTTGCCTTCAGTGAATCCCACCACACTCCAGGGGCTGCACACCCAGCTCACGGGTAGGCTGTGGGCTGTTCAGATTACAACCCGTAAGAAACCAGATGCTACTTACAAGCAGGTCACGTAGCGGAAGAAACACTTTTTTTTTTCCATGGTTACTTACAGTGACTAAAGGACTAAATCAATCTTTTTAAACTTGGATGGAAGAGACGTGTTTAAAAAAAGGCACACACTTTGTATGGGGAAATTTTCTTTGTTTTAATTTACAGCAGAAAGAATATAAAGCATTCAGAAAACATTTTCCATATTTTAAGGGCAATTCAAAACATTTTGCATGGTTCCAGCAGCTGAGTTCTTCAACAGATCCATTGATTCAGTGATGCTTTACATGCACGGTTACAAAAATAAAACTTACAAAAGAGAAGACATCTATACTAGTTTTACATGCAAGTCTTGGGGACCCCCCATTGGGCACCAACTATTGTGTGGAACTGCCATAAGCGTGCAACCAGAGAGGGGGTTCATGTTATATTCTGCATTTCTTTCACACAGTATTACCGCTGTCGAATGTGTTTCACAAAGGAGCAATTCCATTATCAGAAGACAGAAGATCTGGCTCCTGGCACTTGGGAATTTGAATCTTCCTGGAAAGCTGCACTTACTTATCTTCCATGAAAATGTAAGTTCCACAACCAAGAAAAGGGTGAGCAGAATCACTTCACTGTGGGGAGAGTCTTTCCAACTCCCCAGTGACACACTGAAGGGTTATGGCCCGACACAACAAAGCACTTAGAAGCTGTACTTGGCTTCAAGCATGCAAGTCGTTCTGTTGCGCCCGGGGAACTGCTTGCATGTTTAACAGCAAGTACGTGCTTAAATGTTTGGCTGAAGCAAGGATCTAGATTAGTAGATACACCACCAGGCCCATGGATCTGGAAGAGTAATTTGAAATAGCTCTGTATATATTACTGAATCATTTTCTGTAAAGACAGGGAGTTAAAACATTTCCACTGAGGTCACTACTCTTGTTAGGAAAAGGTCGATTCTACATTGTCACATATTGGTAAATGGGAGCAACATTTTGCTTTTAAAATGTCAGAGTTCTTCCAGTATTAATACAGAGCATTTCCAATTCATTCCAAAGGAGATTCTTTGGCATCTCCTGTTCCGTTTTTGTGTAAGAGGAAAATTTAACGGTTAAGGTCCCAATTCTGTACAGTAAATTGAGGCTACGAGGCTGCCCACAGGCACTGTGTGAGCGCCAGGCCATTAGTTTTTATTTTTTCCCTTTTTAAAAATTGAATCAGGTCATAAAGCAGCAGTTCAGAAATGTACAAGATAATTCTGAGAATGAGCTATAGCACATCTACTGTAATTCAATGCTGGCAGTGAAAAGAAGTAATTAAAAACAGGTACAATTATAGAAAAGGCACCAAGAGCACTGACCCCAGTTTTTTTGCCACAATCTTTGTTTTTACTCTTCTTTTAAAGACACCAGTTTAAAAGCTTCTTATGTGTGAATATTTTTAGGCTTCACAACAAGCCTTGCGTTTAAACATTGCAGTTGGTGGCCGGGATCAAGCAAGAACAACTATTCCAAAACTAACAATCTCGAATTTACACCAGTCCATTCAGAAATTTTAAACTGCCATGAGCAAAACAGACACCACAGGAGCAGTTTCTGATCTCGGACACGTGTACGGAACTCACAGCAACAACATGGACTTCAGGACTTTCTCCACTTACATTCCTGTGTAATAAAGATCAGAACCTGGTTCCCATTGTCAAGAATTGTGACAGTTTCAAATTAGTAGTTCAATTTAAAAAAATCTAATTTCTTTGGCTCCTCACTATGTGGAAATAGCAATATACCATGACACCCCTACAAGATCAGTTTGCATCTTTTTTTAAGTTTTACTAAATTTTTTAAAATTTTTTGTGCAATTTTTATTACATTTTCTGACTTCCAGCAGGAGATATGAAAATGTGAAACAGTTTTCTACTTTTGTACTATTTCTTTTTTTTTTTTTTTTTTTTTTGTTTTTTTTTTTTTTTTTTTTTTTTTTTTTTTCATTTTATGTTCATTCTAAGTATTCTTTATTGGAGTGAGTGTATGGTGTTAAGCTAGATACGGTTTTTGTACTTTTATGATTATCTGCTTTGCAAAAGTAACTGAATTTTCTTAAGCAATATCAGCATTCACATTACTTGGCACAATTGGCAAAAAAAAGAAAAAAGAAAAAAGAAAAAAGACGGGGGAAAAAAAAACCCAAGGAAGGAATAAATAAATTAAATCCAACCAAACCAAACTCCTGGTAGCCAAAATCAAATGTAAACATATCCTTTTTTTTTTTTCTATTTTTTTTTTTAAAGTAATGTTGCTCTGCCTTTTTTTCCTAAGTCTAAATACAGTAGCTCTTTTTTGCCATTTAGTCATGCTTTAGCAAAAATGTTCTTCTAAAGAACATTTAAAATAAAGTTTCTTATAGTGAAATAAAGTTTTTGTTTCATTTTACAGACCATAGCCACTAATGCTTTGCTTTGTTCATTTCTTTTTCTTGAGTTCATGCACATATCTCTTTGTTTTAATATATACAATATGTACAAACAATACATCCACACTCTTCTCGTTCATTCAGACAAAACTATACAAATAATAATTTTATCTTGCCAAGTTATTGACCCTTTGTGAATAAAATATTTAGTAATTAATCAATATATTCCCTTTCAAATATTTTTTTCTCATTTTCCATTCTACCTTCTATATATACAGAAATTGCCCAGATTTTGATGAAGTAGCCAAAATAACAAATTTACTGGCCAGAATGCAGCACCACTCTGATCTTTAGGTGGTATAAAATGTCCAGGCAACATATGTATGTGACTCTGCAAAATGACAAGAGGTTTGACAAGTACTTAAGATAAAAAGCTACATGTTTCTCAAATTATTTTAAGAACTTAAAATAATAGTACATGAAAGTAAGGCTAGAAAATAAAGTGCTGAACATGAGAGAAAGTACATGACAATTGATATGTTTGCAGGTTCTAGTAAAAAAACCAAAAAAACTTTTTAAAATTTGCTGAAGCTGCTCTCTCCATTCCTCACGCGTTACCCGTTTATCTCACACACCAACCCCTTCTGTACGTTCCCACGGGATGTATTAAAAACCTGCAGATTTAAAAAGTTGCATTAAGTGTGCTGTAGAGATTTAAATTAAACACAAAGGACAGAGGCGCGAAGGAAATGAGGATGCATGGACCCAATAAAGATGTACTGATCTAAGCCCCTCCACTGAGACTCTCAAAGCTTCAGTTTCTTGGAGATGACTGACAGGTGCAGGAACAGCATTCTTGCGTTGCTTGTGCATTCCCACCTTTTCTTAACAATATTTTTGGTATAATATTTGTACAGTTCCACATGTTGTTTAATACAGCCCTATATGAAAAGGATAATTAATCGCTTCTTCCTTCTCAGAGAATGAAGCAACTCACAATTTCCTCCTGGCGTCTTTTGTTTTCCCCATGATCCAACAGAAGATTGAGTTCCAAGATGTCTTGCTGAACAAATTAAAAGTTGTCCATGAAAGTGCAAATGCAATGACCAAAACATTACTGTTAAAATCCTGCAGCTGGTATTCTCAGAACTGCAGTGGGTATTTTTGTTGTTGTTGTTGCATGTCTCTGCTAAAAACAGAAAATGAAAACAGTCTGAAAAGCAATGTCACATTGCTACGGGATGCTGCTGCGTATCTTCAAGTTCCTTGGCCTTTTTCAATTCTTTCACTCTGAAAAAACAAAGAGGAGCTATATAACACTTCTATTGCAAATCCCTTTCCAGACAGAAAAATCAGAATGATTCCTTGCTCTAACCTCCCGTGCAAAAGAGCCAGCTCCCAGAGAAATGACACGAGGGTCGTATGTTCCTGACACCACAAACAGTTGGAAGCGGTAGAATGAGCCACTAGAAATCTGAGACAAACACATTTGGGAAGATACACTTATTTCCAGCTACTCTTTTTTCCCCTGATGTTTGTCTCTACAGATGGGCTTCGTTCTAGTACTGGCCTGTCTGATTGCTTGGGGGTTTTTTGGACTGCTGGTCATTAACTGATTTTGCAGCTGCCTGCTATTCCAGCTGTTCTGGCAAAGGGGCTTTTCAGTGCTGACCTCTTTTCTCCACGCATCGCTGATGCTGTGCCCAGGGGAAAATCAGTCAGTCATACTTACAGGGGAAGCTTGATGTTGATACAGAATCTCACAGAAAAAAGAGTTTATATGCGAGTAGAAGGAACCAGTATGAGTGTGAAGAAAGATAATTACTTCACGCTTAGTCCAGCTGCTGTATTTTCTAGCATGTTGTTGGTGGTAGAGTCATGGTTTTTTTCCAGGCAGCAGTGGAGGACATTGCGTGCCATGGGAGATGAACCCACAAGGTGGAGGAGCCACTCTCCCTAAGGTGGCCCCATGCTCAGTTTGCAACTCTAAAATGCATGCAGTACATCACCTCCTCTAGTATTTGTCAGCATTAAAACTAAATCATCACTGAAAGCTGAAATAATTAAAAATTAAGAGGATGAAGAGAAGGGAATAATTTAAATCCCATCAAATAAAGCCGAAGTCTGCCTCAGTGCTGGAGGAGCAGCGATCCTCTGCTCAGGCTGACAAACTGGCTGTGCATCAGTGCAGGCTCCCTGCAAAGGAGCCAAAGCAAATCTACGGGGACTTCCCGTGCTGCCCCTAAACCTGAAGGCAGGTGCCCAGCTGACCCTGTGGAGCTCGACTCTCTGCCTCCTTTTGCAGGGAGCTCCTTTCCACTGTGTGATCTCTCCTTTGCCACCTGCCTCCGTGTGCCCTTCCTCTGCTACTGCGAGGGCAGTACCACCCCAAAAGGAGTGGAACACAGCCTCAATTAAGGGGATTTAGCAAAGCATCGACATGCCCAGCTGATGTAGAAAAACTTGAAAGGACAAATAATGAAGGTATAGTACAAAGAATTGTGTCAGAGCTGCAAGTCTGTAAAACAATCCAGCTAGGAGTGAATAAATTTAACAAAGCCTAAGTAAATACAGATAGTAAAAGATGTTGGGAGAACTAAGCAGCAGCAATGCCAGGTCGTAGCTTCTGTACAAAGATTTCCACTCACACGTGCCCCTTTGGCTCTTGCACCAGCCTGCTAACACAAGGATATGATGAAGGCTATAAACTGACCTCTATAGATACACCTCCATTTCACTGCTTTTTTGAAAGTAATTTTCCACACATACTATTACTCAGAATCAAGGTCAAAAGGGAGCTGGCTGCTTTTAACTCTTTGCTTTAGCTGACTCAAAGCTCTAGCACTCAAAGGCACTCTCTGTGTTTGTGGAACTGGGGGAAACAGGAGGCAACAAAACAGTCACACTAACCAATATGCAGGTCAGACCTCTGCTAATTACCTTAATTCCCCAAACTGTCTGAGAATATCACGTGTGGAAAGACAGAGGGCTGCTAGTCCAAATGGACATGCCATTTTCAGAGCCTGAAGACCTATCTCCCAGGGGCCACAGCACTCCTCTGAACTCCACGTTTGGCAGAGGGGTGCCTCAATACAGCTCTGCCAGATGCCAAGAACTGCTCTGATCCCCAGGCTGAGGAAGGGGCAAGACAGCAAGCGGCACCCCTGGTTCTGAATTCCTACCTGTAGTAGTGCTGTGCTGAGCCTAAAGGCCCGCTACAGCGTCACAGAGAAATCCTCCACGGGGAAACCCTGGCTCTACACAACCTGGTGTCTGAAAGGCCCTGCTGACACCAGGGGAGCGGGGGCTTCAGCACCACACTGAAGGCAGCAGCGAGCCTCAGCTCACCTCCAGTGGGTGACCATGTATTATCAAATCACCTCCTGGGTAAGTCCAGATCATCTCTTCATTATAGGAAACATGGGAGGATCAGTACAGTGAACTGAAAATGCTCACAAATTACAAACTGTCTTCAGTATACTTCATTCTCTTTCTATTCTTGCAGCAGAAAAGCAGCCTCTCCCTTGAAATTATTACTAATATTTCTATTACTTCACCACTTGGAAGCAGAAGGTGAGCCAAGATCACTGCTGTGCTAGAAAAATGTGGTGTGTCTCTGTGCACCAGGCAATTTCTAAGGCTTAGGTTAACTATGTTCAAGAAACCACCTATTAATGCGTGATTTGCAGTGCAACTTCCAAGTGTTTTCTGTTGCACTTCAATACTGTAATGTAAAATTAACCTGTTATTATAGATCTCTTACTGAGAACATGCACATTAGATAAGCTGGTGGCTCTTTCACCGAGACATGCTATACCTTCGTTTAGGACTTCAGCATGCAAGGACTACGCTAACAAAGCACTTTTGCTGGAAGAATGCGAGACATGCTTTGCTGCAAACTTAAACCTACAGCATGCAATATCTGTACTGGTGCAGATCTATTGAATGTGTCTTAACTGGAACACACATGCCAACAGAATTTAATTCTACAGCACTCAACATTTGCACGAGTACAGATCCTGTTCAGAAATATGCAATGCTTTTCCTTGGTCAAGTGTACTTTACATTGGTTTACAGATTTTCAGGCTTATAAAAATGTTGCAAGTGCAATGATAATTACTGCTTAAAAACACAAGCACATACCAGTACAGAACTGCCCTACAGCAAAGTTACAGGCTTTGAAATTTGTCATGGATACTTTACTTAAAGATGCTGTTTAGTATGTAATAGCTTAAAACAAACCCTGCTTTCCACAGCATTTGTAAAGTTAGGCTTCAAGATGATGACCATCCAAATTTACTAAGCTACCACATTTTTTTAATTAAACTAAGCCCTGTGTTCAGTATACATAATTGTGCATATTACATTAAAAAATGGGAGCGCAGTTAGGTACTGCAAGTCCTTTATTTGTACAATGCACTGCACTGTAGGGATGAAGACCTGCACTCTGCAGCTGATGGTCTCTCTGCTCAGAAGAGCTGGTGCCGAGAGGCCAGAGAAGTTCTCCCCTCTCCTGGCAGCAGACTCGAGGCTGCCCCGCACCGCTGTGAGATCTGCAATGCAGCACAGCCAGAGAGGAACTGAAGCATCCCCTCTACCTGCTACCAGAACTGAGCAAATCCACGGCCAGACTGACACTTGGGAAGCACTGAAGTGTTGTGAACATGCTGCTCCCTTCCCCAAAGCAGGGCTAAACATGAAGTGCCAGAACCAGTATATGCATCAAGCCAGATACCAGACCAAGGTAATCCATTTATTTTCTTGTTTAAAATAAGTGTTCTTAAACAAGCCTCTGAATCACTTTATCAAGAGAACATAAAACTATTTTCAACCAATTAATTCTTTATTGGATAGACTGTACTGCAGCCTTTCCTGCATTTTAAAAGTCCTTTTAGTCCTCATTTAACACTTTTTGAGTAAGTTCTGTACCCAGTGGTACTTTGATTTGGTTTTGTTACAACGATATAAAGTGTCAATAGGTGCGTAGAGCTGATATTTCCTCTTCATTAATGCTCAGTGTCATAAACTCTCTAACTTTTCAAATGTAGTTAAAAATACAGGGAAGAATTTTAGACAAATTAGGACCCTTGAAAATAGAAATACACTGCGTAAGTGCTGCTAGGAGAGCTTTTAAGTGAACAACATAGCGCTGCCTTCACACTACAAGCCAATCTTCTTTGGTTCATATTTTTTTCCACTCTTAAATTCAGGCACGGGAAGAGGGCCTAAGTGTAGCATTTGCAGCTACGAGTGTTAATAAACTGCTCTAAGAGAAAGAACACTAGTGGAATTTATAGAACAGTCCAGCAGAAAGGATGTTCTAGAGAAGATGGTCAATCCAGTTTGGTCAACTTACAGTAAGACTTTTTTTTTTTTTTAATAACAGAAAAACTGAGAGTGCTGAGAGCAAGTAACACCAGCAGGTCACACCTTGATGGATGATGCACAAACCTCTCTAGAGGTCTACAGGCACTGGTATGCTGGTTTGGATAACTTCTGGAAGTGCCCCCAGCTGCACAGGGACTGGAGGTTAGGACAGTTCAAGTGACACATGGCTGCAAGCCAGGATGCCCAAGACAGGGTAACAGGCTCTGGCTGTTTTAAGACTCCAAACAAGAAGTTCCACCCTACTTCAGCTGCTGCTGAAACCACGCACAGAATTGAAAGGACCATAAATTTGGTTTTGCACTGATGAAGCCTTCAACAAAAACTTCCTCAAATAACACTGACTACAGGCAGTAAGAGCCTCTAAGGTACAAAGCAATTCCCTCAGCAGTTGCTGGACAGAAAAAGCACGTACAATAGAGAAGACCAGAGATAAGGTGTGTGTCTGAATCACAGCCGTGGTGCTGACGCACAGAAAGGGAAAAGAAGGTGCTTTTAACTATGAGCTTTGAACCCTGACACTTGGGAGCTATGTCTCGGGTGACAGATTGCTCCAGCCACCCAAAGCTGCTCCCCTTCGAACTGTTTTACTTACTCGGACACCACATAGGAGGTCGCATCATTACACGCTGAAGCGATGTAGAAAGCAACAGCCCCAGAAGCGAGCGGCAGCTCCTCTCCCCACGTGCCCTCCCCAGTCTTGTATGGGAGTGTGTCAGCAAATGAATTAGGCCTACTTAGAAAAAGTTACAGCAAATGATGGCTTCATGGGTAAAGCGTAACACAAAGCTGCTTCATCAAATTTACTCCATAATGCCCAGCCAGGGAAATGTTTAATGAATCTGAATGCTGAAGATCAGTATAAAGGACAGGGTGCAGGGGCCAGAGAAGGCGGTCTGGCGAGTTACCTGTTGCTCTGAGAGCTGAAATGGCCTGTGGGACATTTAAGAAAAGGGAGCTCTTGCCTTTTTCCAGATATCTCATTTGGGCAGCAAAACAAAAAAGACAGAAAGGCCCAATAAGAATGACACCCCAGAGCACGTGGTCTGCGGTTTAACACACACATTTGAGCTCCAAATACATTCAGCCCCTGCAAGAGGTAAATGAAAAAAGAAATTACTTTGAAAACTTTTGTTGCAGGTACAGTGATGCAAATCCCAATATGACATTTTCTCACATTGTCCTGAACTTGAACAAATGGGACTTTCAATCCCTTAAAATCTTCCCCCATTCTCAATCTTACTAAGAGATGTAAGAAACCAGGTACTTAAATGCAATGGCTGTTGCATAGCACATATTAAAAACACACAAAAAATACAAGTCCTAGGTGCACAGGAGGAGGAAGGGGTTTGTTGTGGAAATGCCAAGAGAGGGAAGGGTATACAAAGAACAACAAAATATTGTAGATGATGTTTATTCAGGTACAAAATAGTTGTACTTACCAGAGGAACTGACTTCAGGTGTTATATGCACACTCCCCAAACCAGGGAGCAGCATTTAATCAAGCCGTAAGAAATGGGGTGGGGGTAAGGGGATCTATTTTTAAAGGAAAGATTCTGTGAATGCATATACACTCTTTATTACTCATGATCACAGATAACGAGGGCACCTGTTCTGCCCCAGAAATGACAGAAGTTTGCTGAAGGCAGGAAGCAGCCTAATGATGTGAAAAGACTCCAGATCACCTGCCTACCGCGAGCACAGCTGAGAGGGTCACAGTCCCAGTGGCTGTGCAGTTTTGTTCACACCCTGTATCTGGACTTTGAGCAAAGGTCTCCTTCACAGGAGGCTACAGTGGACAGTTTAACCCATGAGTAGGGAAACATTTGTGTAGCAGGCACTGTGATTAGCTGAAATCTGTCCACTGAAGCAGGTTCCCCTAAGATCCCCGAGATGAAAACTATTATTTAAAGGCAGCAGTAACTGGATTTTTTTTTTTTGTTGTTAGAAAGTCTTTTAATTTCCACTGCACAAAGACAGCAAATTTTATCTCACATAAGCTGATTAATAAAATTTCCCCATCTCTCCCTCTTTACTGATTCTGGTGCAATGTAACCCAAATAAATCCAGAAAAGTTAATGAAATCAATTTGAAAAGAGGTTTTTCAAACTGAAACATGGAGGCAAACGCTGTGACTGTTTATCTGCACACACAGCCTACATAAGCACAGTGTCAGTGTACAGAATACATCAAATTTGTATATTGCAGACAGACATATGTTTGCATGCATTCCTTCAGCATGTATGGACATGTCAGCTTGTGCACATCAGAAGGCCCAGAAATACTTTCCTTATGTGCATGCACGCCAGCAGCGTACGCACGTAGGTCGCTATCAGAATGCAAAGCAGCAAAGAATAATTTGCTCTAACAGGCTTATTTCGGTAGAACAGCAACTAAAACATTTTGTGAGGGTTCATAGCTTGCCTTTTCCAGACAAGCAGAGAACTCTCCTGTTTCCCCATCAGTCCCACATCACTTTGCCATTCAAAGCAAAACCTGCAAATGCTACTAAGCTTCCAGAATCTGCTTCCTGCTAATTTCTCCTACGCTGTTACACCCGCAAAGCCTTAAAGTGCAACTATTTCTCCTCCAATACTGATGACCGGCCCATCAGCTGCACCTACAGCAGAATCACTACACAGCATCTACAGAGCCTGGCCTCAGGGGTAGCCGTACAGTAGCTTTGGGCCTGGACCCTGCACTTGCTCCTCTTTACAGTCCCCTCTACTAGCACAGTAACCATGGCACACAGCTCAGTTTTAGTGGATCCTGAGACCGCAGCATGCACCTGCCCTCTTGAGTAGGTATCCCAGCCTTGAATGGAAAGGCACAATAGCACAATTGCTTTATTCTTCTATGTTCAAGTTGTATGTTGCACGTTCTTTTCAGTTCTGAATCCGATTATCTCACTTTGGCACGCACATTTAAAGTTTAAGTTATTTTTCCTATTCCTAGAACAAAAGTCTTAAAACATTTCCTCTCCTGCCTGGCACGCAAAGGTTACAGGTAGTGCTGCCAGTGTAGAACACAGCACAGCTTCCAGCCTGTGCCATTCCCAGGGCTGCAGACTGCACAAGCCAGGGCGTTCCCTGGACAGTGTAAGCCCAGGACACCAGGACAGACCAGGCTGCCCACGTGCAGGGTGCAGCAGGCACTGTGCACCCAGCCAGCCAGATCAGTGAAGCCAGAATTCTCTGGAGAAAAGGAAGACTGAGAAGAGAGCACTGAAACTGCAAAAATAGGAGTAGCTGGAGACAGGAATGTATTTTGAGCACACCAGCATCTAGCTGCAGACATGCACGCTAGTCCCTTTCACACGATGTGGGACGTGGCCCACAACTAGCCAGACAAAACCAGGGAAGACTGGGGTAGACCCCCCGAAGTGCTCTGCACCTGCACACCACAGAGTTCAAGGTTCCTGCTGCAACAGGCACACGCTGTGTCGCGAGGCTGAGGAACTGCAGCTCCTTGTTCAGGCCCATCTCAGGGCAGGAGGAAGGAGGTCAGGACACTGCCTGCCGGGGAAGGAAGGTGTGCTCTTGAGCCAGCCCCAGCCGCAGGCAGCTCTGCAGCATCCTGCTCTACTAGCTGCTAAATAAAATGTCATCATTTGTCTGCAGCATTCATTACTGTCCCATGGATATGGCAACTGACCCTAAGATTAAAGATGGTAAAAACTGTTGGGTTTTTTTGATTGTTTTTTTTCATAGAAAAGTAGACACGTCCTTCCCACAGAAGAAGGGTGATTTATCTAATCAGAATGACTCTTGTTTTTTTAGACACACAGAGTGGATTTTATTTTTTCAAAAACAAATTATGTTTTTTCTTCAAGAGGCTTTTGAAACCAGCACCCAACTGTAGACCAAAAACCACCAGTCCTAATTATATACAAAGCATCAGATTAGTAAAAACAAGTCACCCAGTCAGTCCACCATTATGAGAATACAAGCTATTTTTACACAGTTCCTGAGTTAACCTGCATTAGTTGTAAAGCACTTTACCATACGTGGTGTGATCTAGAGCTACAGTTTACCGGCTAACAAGTTCACAGTGCTCGTGTCTCTGCAATCAGGAGTAACGATTCTCTTCGTCCATCAGGGCAAGATCCATGAAAGCAGCACTTACACAGCCAAGGGACATCTGGGCCTTTGGTCCCATTTCATCCAATTCTTACTTCATTTGTCTTTAATAAAGAACCCAAATTGTAACTTGTAAAAAAAATGAGGATATGCAAAAAAAAAAAATAAATGGTGGCACAAAGTCATAGTTGGGAAAGAAATGTCATTAGCTGTTGCTTCTTTGTTAGGCTCAGTAGTTAAACAAATAACGATGCCTCCAGCAGGCTTAAGCCCAATTCATACTCTCACTCCTAAATCATAAAAATAATCTCTCTACTTCAAAGTCAGTGGAACTCCATGATCAACAATTCAGTTTTCTTTCCTGACTGTTAGGTGGATGTAGGAGCTCCAGTCATTGCTCCCTCTGCCTCTCCTCCCTTGTCGAAGGGAGAAGTAATAAGCACACAAATGGTGTTATTTATGACTGCAGTTTCTGACAAAAACCCTGCTGTCCTACAACCTCTCAAATGCAAAATGGTACTGAGCAGCCCTGCTGACAACTCACGTATGTGCCCTGAAAGCCACAGCGTTCCCTGCTCGGACAGGGACTGTGACCTGCCTTGGGAACGTGTCGGTGTATTCCCACCTTGCTGTCGGGTAGCAAACCAGCCTGCTGCTGTGACTGAGCACAAAGGCAAGTGGACTCACTTCATGCTGAGAATGAGATTCCTGAGAGAAGCTCACTTGGCACTTACACAGTTATAGCATCTTCATTTCAAGTTTTTTGTTTTCCTTCCCACTATGTAGATTAACAGCTGAGAGAAGCACTTGACAAAAAGCTGGCCCTAGTAAGGGAACCAGACGTGTAACTTACTGAAGACCAACTTCTACAAGTTAAGCATTGGTGCGTAACCACCTTAGGGAGTAAAAAGCAGTGTGAAGAACTCTTCTGCTTCTCTCTGGCTCAGGCAGAGCAAACACTCATCTAGAGCAGGCTGAATCTGTACTGCAGTGTCCTATGATCCAGCCTGAACGCTGTGGCAGTCCCATGACAAAGGACATTGTTACTCACGGAGTGTGTGTGAGTGCAGACCCTGTCAAATTCCAAAATCTACTAACACCCATTTTGGATACTGAAAAAATACCCCACCGACAATGACACCTAAGCATGCCCATGATGGATATACATGTCCTTTTTCACGCTTTCATGCACTGGAAACATCTACTGCGGAGCTCTGTCCTGTTATAAAAGCAGCAGTGTTAGTCATTGCAGTAGGGTTAGTTTATACAGGACTCTGTTTTATATCATTAATGGAGGTGGAACTTACTGGCGTATCTTGGCTGCAGCCCCATGCAAGCAAGCAGAAAGCAAAAATATTTAAAATGGAGGAGAGGAACTGGCTAGCAGGCAGCTACACTCACCCTTTTGTACAGTCTATGGTCCACCAGTGGGCTTCAGATTGCAAAACAATACCAAAGAGCTATTAGCACACACATGGCAATAACCATACCTTACCAAGAGCTTCAGGTCAGGGAGGAGGAGACAACACTTCTGCTTGCCTAGAGAGAAAGAACCCTTCCCACTCCTGCCTACTGGACTCCTCCTCTTTACCAGGGAAGAGCAGTCCTGTGTTTAGGTGTTTTAAGGCAGGAAGTAACAAGCAAGTAAAATAAATCCAATGCTGTCATCCCCGTGGCATTTCTAGCTGCACCCTGCCTTCCCTTGCAGCGACTGTCTGTTTCCTATCTCATTCCAAATGCTACTCCATAAAAACCACTGCAGATCATGATCACAGCCTAGCAATGGTGTAGATACCTCTCACAAGAGTAAAATTTTCCTAAGAACTGGACAAAGTGTAAGAAATAGGAGGCTACCTTCCCAGTGAAAGCTGACTGTATGAACCATATATGGATTCAGCTCAGCAGACCTAAACCTACTTTGGACCTCTGGGATTTCCTTGCAAGCTCTAGATGTGTCATCTGGGATCACTAAGTAGGTGGAATCTTTCCAAAACCATTAAATACACAAACCCTTGATTCTGCCTTACACAGGACAGTGTGCCAGGAGACAGCTCAACTCACAGCAGGTGTAATGGCAAGTTTTAGGTTGAAAGTTAGTCAAGTGCCAGCTGACAGGTCCAGGCACAGGTCTCCTGGGAGGCCAGGAAGTTTCTGTTTCTCCTTCTCAACAAGCAACACTTCTGTGACAAGTCATTTTATGGCTGATGCATGTTTTTCATCAGATTTTTGAGAACATGGCAATAGATGGATTTTTTTTCAAAGTTAAAAGGCAACAATACATGTCTGACCATCAGAACGACTGCTGCTGCTGAATGACCACTTGTTTCCATGACACCTGATAACATTCAGGTACTAGAGCTCCAGTATCTTCTCTAAGAATACATTCTACCAAGACTTACGTTTCTTTTCTGATTTTCATCAATGTCTATGCATCAGTTGCTGAGAGCGCTCCAACAACAGAACCTCTCTCATTAACTCTCTCAAAACATCTGAAATACTGTCTGATAAGGCAACAGCTTAAGTTCAGGAGATCAGAAAACATAAAACAAACATGTTTATGAACACTGGATGTTCAAGTTTATAGGAATCATGTTTGTGTTACTGAGCCTTTGCACCAAAATACTAATAAGCAACACAGGACAAGAAGATAATTTAAGTTGTCCTGACTGCTAGCAGAAAAAGAGTTCTCATAACTGGCTTAAAGTAGACCTCGATCAACTTAAAATAGGAAAAAAACCAACCAACCACACAGTTGCCAGGGGAAAGCCTGAATAAATCCTGCCTAAAGTCTATAGAATAAGCTCTTAATAAGGAGTCATTTACTGGCCCAGCAAGAGAATCTGCTTGTGGACAAAAACTTAGGCTACAATTTATTTTATTTTTTTTTTTTTTAAGGTTGAATTTATGAACTTTTAAGATTTTACTGCCTTTTCACTTAGCTCATTATCCTTACAACAGATTCCAAGCGGCTTCTACAGCCTCCTCCTCCACCTCTGTCTATCAGCTGACAGAAATCTGCTACAGGATCCTGTTTCTTTGATGTTCCTGTGCATGCTCTCTTTTCTCTCACTCCCTCAGATTTTCCAAAAATATTTGTTAATTCTATCCCTCGTACTGACAAGGCACTGTGGTTTAACAAGTGGCTCCACAGTGCCTTTTTTATGCTACAGAACATCAAATAACATTAGACTTTAGCTGTTACGGCTTGCTCCTAGATGTTCAGGAGCTTGGATAGCTGAAATATTTCTTTATGGAGCCTTGGGCTTTCTTAATTTCTTGTTTATAGCAGCAGGATGGCTAATTTTGAGCATTCAAAGAGGATTCTGTGATGGGATTCCAACAAGCAGTACTCCTAAAACAGTGCGTGGAGCTAAGTAACAGTCACATCATCATCAGCTGTATCCCTGTGTAAGAGTTGCACAGGATGCACAGTGGACTGAATGGATATAATTAGGAGGCTTATACAGAGGTGGTTTTAAACTTACTTAACATCCTAAGTTTTATTACTCTGTCCTTAGAAAGAGGTAAGCAAAAAAAGTCAAGCAGTGAGGAATAAATGTAATTATTAAGACACAGAAAAGAAAATTCAGAAGGCTTGAAGAAGAGCAGGTGAGAAGGAAGCAATTCCCTCATCTTCCACCTGCTATCCCAGCATACATGCACCACAAACAGGGCAGCCCAGAAAGGGGGATGCAAGCCAAGCTTGGGAAGGAATGAATGCGGGTGGTCTTTCCAGGATACGGCTGTGCTGGGGAAAGCGTTTGGATCTGCCCCACAGGGCCAGGGGTGAGGAAGCAAACAGATCAGTCTGAGTCAGCTGAGATGCTGAAGCAAGTGAAGCTCTGTTTTAGCAAGTAGATCTGCATCATTTCCAGTATTACACTCTTCCATTGGAGCTGTTTACACAAGCAAAAGACTTAAATCTGTTTGTCTTCAAAATCCTTAGTGGTAACAGAGCACTAAGAAGCTGATTTGTGTGTTGCTCTTCACTGAACGCAAACAAGCAAGAGGACCAGATCTCTCTGTACAGTACTGGCAGCCAGGAGAGTCCAAGGGCCCATGAGATACTCCTGCACTGTGATCCCAGGATCACAGAGGCATCCTAAGTGCACAGAGCACAAAGTGTTTGGGAAAACTTCTTTTTTGGCAATGGCTTGCTATCGCTTTTTTGACAAGCAGGAAGAAAGGGGCCCAAGTGTCACATTTCTAAACAGTTCTGTAAATCTAGTAGGCTGGTAAATTTATGTCTTTTTCAAGCAGATTCTAAATGCTGGATTTATCATTTTGCTAAGTAAGTCTCGCTTTTATTTTTAGCATTTGCCAATGCCGGAATGCTCCTGGTTAAAATTGGTGTCAATTATTAATATTAGTTCCACTAGCACAGTTTTAAACCCTTATGATTGCTTGGAGAAAGTACAGGACCATGAATGCATGATTGTTTTTATTCAAGAAGGAAAAAGCAAGGCAGTTTTGAAACACAGTTAACATCTTCAGTGGAAACAAGTTACAATTCTTGTTTGGTGCATCCTGGCCAAGAACCATGGATGAATTCCTAAGTAACTGCTTACCAAGTGCCTATGGACACAGACAGGACTGCACTGTTGCAGAAATTCAAGTACTGTGCAGTATGACCTAAGTCAGAGAGAGCCTACTGACAATGGATTCTCCCCATACCCTGCTGCTTCTTTTTATTTCCTGTCTATAAATACACAAGACCTAAACCCATCTCCCAGAGATGCACAGCAGCATCTACCACGCAGCTGGAGAGAGAAGAGACTGACTACAGGCAAAGGGGAGGGACTTGCCTTCAAACTTCAGTGATGCAAATGAGTAGGGTCTTGCTCTACAAAGGAAACAGGAGATGCTGAGAAAGAGGAAGGCAATCAAGAAAAACTGCTGGATTCACAGGCAATTTCAGCCCTGGATAGTCTAGGTTACTCAACAGTTGCAGACTTAACTGAGCGTGGTTGAAGAGCATGGCACATCCTGGACACTGGTGGGAAACCCAGTGATACTGCCAGTCATGAGATATTCCCTGGGCCTGTGTGTGAGTCGGCTGCAAGAGCCACTGGCAGGTTGACCCTGGAGCCTCCACGGATGGAAACCAGCACATGGCTTCCCCAGGGACCGCCTGGATCTCAAGCAGATCTGAGAGGATACAGAAGTTCTGAGCTTCAGCGGGACATGCTGCTCAACAAACACAACAAAACAAACCTTTTGGTCTCTTCCACATGCCCTGCTGAGGGCAAGAAGCCATTTGTGCTTCTTCATGAACAACTCTGGCTGTTTCAAGTGCATTTGGAATTGGTCTGGAAACGATAAAGTCCTCTTTTCTGTCTGCACATTGCTTTCCACTGAACCTGCAGGTAAGATGTCCCTCCACAACATGAGCCACACCAATGTCCTGCAAACTGCAGCTCTGAAATCCTCCAAAAAGGACTGAGTCTGTTTCTAAGATGAAGTTTGTCACATGCCCCTCTGCCTCTCAGAGCTCTACTTGTTCAGACATCACTGGGCTGAACTAGACATGCTTCAAAATGCATCAGATTTGACCAGCTCCTGAGTAAATGAAATGCATGGTGGTGAGAATGGAGGGAGCAGAGTCAGAAACATCTGAATTCACTTTTGTTGAGGCAAAGTTCCAGTTTACAACTTCATCATATATGGGATCCTTTCATTGAAAAATCAAACCAAATGCCCTGCATGTAGCAGAGTACTGGTATGGTAGTGCCAGCTGTCACATGTGAGCACTCTGGAACCTGCACAGGTTCCCACACTGGCAGGAGATGATTCGTCTTCGCGTCTGTGTACTTCCAGCTTACTGAGGTGTGTGTGAAATGGCTGACATGAACTAACTTGTCTGCTGCTCCGTTGGCACATTCTATCTATCCACATTAAAAAGAACCTGTATTTGATGAGAGATTATCAAATGATCCTATGACCAAACTAAAGGCCCATCCACTGTGCATCAGTTTGTCGCATTTTGCACTTCCCCATATACCATGAATGCTTTGTGCAGCACTAACAAGCTGTAGCTACGATTCAGTAAGCTTTTTTCCAGACTTCCTCAAGTACAACTTTTAAAGTCACATGCCTTGCTTTGCTTCAAGTTTCTTCATTCTGTTTCTGCCCAACACAACCTGGGCTGCTTTAGCATATCAGCAACACAGCAACACTATTCTCTTTCAGCAACAGTCCTAAGTTAGAGATTTCACTTTTGTCAGTGTATCTTGGAAGCAGCTGGGCTTTATTATTTGATTAAAAGATCTGTAGTGAGCTGATTCTATCATCCTTTACATTGCACTCATTGCTGACACAATTGAATATTGTTGCATTGCTCTAACGAAGGGCAGATATCAAAAGACAGTGTCATACCTGTGGCGGCAGCGTCGTAAAAAACGCATAATCTTGCGAGCAGCTTGATCCTGCTTCTTGGTAAGCAGACTGCTTCTAAACACACAAAAAAAACCCAACACTGAAGTGTAGGCAAAACTGGGGAGAATAATGCTAAATGCAAGAATAATTTTCTTGTGAACCACTGTCCTTTGGTTGTAAATTACAGCACAGCACTGATGAGCGTAAAAACAATACATAAAGATCCAGGTAGCATCTAGTATCCCACCAGCTCACCTGAGTTTCTGTTGTACAATGGTGGCTGCCCGACGGTTTTGCCTCCTCTTCCCACATTCTTTGTAGCTGCGATAGTACTGCTGGATCAGCATCGCGGCTCGTCGGCTCTGCTGGAATTTTTTCTGCTCATAATAACTTCGGAATTTGCTCTGGATAAGAATGGCAGCTTGCGTCATCTTTTTATAAAGTGCATACTACAAGAGAAACAAAGAGAAGCTGAGGCATTCCAATAAAACCAGCAAGAAGCAGGTTCCTACAGTGAAAGACTCTTGTGCCACTAAGACATGATGAAAAATAAATGAGTATCTACTCGCTGATTGGAACTGTATGAGGAAAGGGTGACAACAATCCAGAACAAGTGTGAGATGAGTTGCAGAACCCAGTATGCACCAGGAAAGCAACAACCTGTTTTGCTGCCCCTGGAATAGTCTGACAGGATTGGTTTTATTTGATACCTATCAAAGCCTCTGCATGTCCATGCTAATGACCAGACCCGGCTGCGCTACACTTATGAACAACTGGAGCTGATCCTGAGCCGTGTTTACACTGCTTCATATTTGTACTGCAGTGGGCCTGTGTTCTAGATGAACCAGTTGACTACACTTAGAGGAATTGCTCGTTTCCCTTGCAGACAGAAATCTCATTGCAAAGTACAGGATGCTCATTTCTGTGCAGCCATTGTTTATGAAGACTCATAACAACAGCAGCAAAATATGCCCAACTAAGTGACTAGAAGGATAAAGCAACACGAATGACTATTCAAAAATGCTAACAAATTAATTAAAACCAAACACTTTTTGGTGTCTGTGTTAAAAAAAAAACCTTCTAAACAAATTACTTCTTTAAGAACTGAATTTGCTGTTGACGAGTGCATTCCACTTTCCTAGGACAATTAGCTTTTAAACTGCTCATTTCTTGTTTCCACGCCATAGCACAGTACTGCAGAAGTTTCGATTGCTCATATATCAATTTAAATCCAAGCATTTCAAATGGAGTAACATATGAGTCCAACTTAAAAAACCCAACCAAACAAAAGCCACAACAGTGAATTAAGCAAGTCTAAATACTGAGTTTAAGTCACAGGCAAAACTATATCTCATTAGAAGTCTTCAACAAGCATCCTCTGAACTTGCAAATTTATACCAGCAGTCGCATGCATCCCAAGTTCCCTCTAGCACTGTATTATTTCCAGCCCCATGATTCCAAGTAAAGCAGGCACAAACTCTTAAAATCTTCTTTATGCTACATACTTTTCCTTTTCAAGCACACAAGTAGATAGATGGTCGCTTAACACAAACCATGTACATTCGTGCATATTTTTAGAAGTCCTTTTTAAGACAGAGATGTAGAATAATGTATAGAAGTTGCACTCATACCTCTGAACTAGCACTAGGACAGATGTTTTCAGTGTTTGCTGATCTTATTTTGGAAGCTTTGACACTTTCAAAACTTATGTGTCTGTTGTTATTGGATATTTTATCAGCTATGACTTCTACTCACTTTATCAGACAAATAAGACACAAAAACAGCAGCTGCTGCCCTATACAGGGTAATGTCCTAACATACCCTGATGGAATTTTCCTGTCTACTGGGGGGAAAAACCCAAAAAGCAAACACAGAATCCCCCCACAACATCACCCCAAAGCAAAGAACCCTTCAGTATCATCACAGACCACCATTTACCAAATTTCACTTTTTGGAATTGAAGCAGTCATTCATTGCAGTTATATTTTGCCATTAATAATTCCCCTTGGTTTTCATGGGGGGGGGTGTTGTGTTGTGTTGTTGTTGTTTTTTAAAAACATTTTTAATTTAATGGATCAGATTATGGTTTTAAAGTAGCTATTTTAAATAAGTCCACTCACGGGCTGGTCATGGTTTTCATTCCAATTTTTAGCCCAGACTGGACTTCTGTGGTTGAGTTACAAACCCCTGAATAGAAGGGTTCAAACACGAAAGCATGATGTGAGCTGTGACTGTTCAAATCTAGTCAGAAGCCTGTGCTGATCTCAGCAATTACAGTAACGTAACAGAATAAGGCATGTGAAAGAGAAAACAACGGTCATGGGACAGACTAGACCCCAGTATGTTTGCATTCAACTCTAAGACCCACTTAGCTCCCTCTCCTCCTCTTGCCCTCCAGCTGGGAAGAGGACAAGCACAGCGGTCGCCTAACCTCGGTGATGTGGCAAAGCCTCAGCAAGTAAAGTGGCTCTGGAGAGCTCAGCTCACTTGTGCTGACAGAACAGTATTTTGACTGATACAAAACCCCTCTACTCAGCCCTGGTGAGGCCCCACCTGGAGTGTTGTGTCCAGTTCTGGGCTCCCCAGTACAGGAAGGACATGGAACTCCTGGAGAAGGGCAACTAAGATAATTAAAGGACTGGAGCATCTTTCATATGAGGAAAGGCTGAGGGAGCTGGGCCTGTTCAGCCTGGAGAACAGATTACTCAGAGGGGATCTGATTAACATTTATAAATATCTAAAGGGAGAGTGTCTAGAGGATGGGGACAGACTTCTCACTGGCACCCAACAACAGGACAAGAGGCAACAGGTGTAAACTGCAGCATAGGAAGTTCCACCTGAACATAAGGAAGAACTTCTTTACTGTGAGGGTGACTGAGCATTAGAACAGGTTTCCTGGGGAGGTTGTGGAGTCTCCCTCCCTGGAGATATTAAAAAACCGTCTGGACAAAGTCCTGGTTCATGTGCTCTGGGAGTCCCTGCTTGGGCAGGGTGGTTGGACTAGATGTGACCTTCAGAGGTCCCTTCCAACCTTGATCATTCTGTGATTCTGTGAAAACCATGGCGCAGGAGGAAGCTGTGGATGGGAAATTACCCTGAGGACACACTCTCTCCAGGAAGAGCATGCCTTGCCTCCTGGGTAGCTCTGAGAGAAGCTCAGCTGACTCTAGTACCTGATGAGAGCAAGACGCTGCACAGCTGGGAAATTCATCTTTACAATGGAAAATTATTGACCTCGAACAATTTAAGACTGGCATCAACAGTCACGCCTCCAGTATGAGCAGCAAAGCACGCGAGATGGTGGTCTTAGGAATTCACAGCACAGGTATTTCAAAGAGGAGTGTTCAAAATACTTTGGCAGGCAGAGTGCAGAGGACATTGGCTGCATGGGGTGGGATAAATGTTCTCCTGTGCTCCCTGAATGCCAAGGCAAAGATCACCAAGTAATGGCTAATCAGCAGCAACAAAGGAAAACTTGTCCTCTGAAAATTGGCTTCAAAACCTTCCCCTGCACCTCAGCCCATCACTGCTTATGTGATACCTGTAGAAGCAGAAGACACTTTTTTTTCTTCTGGTTGTACTACTGTGTTGACAGGCTGTGGCATGGCAGCCCTCATGTATATCCCGTCAGGTTCGGTTTGTCATGGATTTCTCAACCACAGGTATTTATTAGTCGATACTATTTAAAACATTTCTCTAAACAATAGGTTCTTGTGGTTGAATGTGAAAGTTAGTGACCCACGGGGAAGTGTGTCCAAAAGAGTGTTTGTATTTGTATTACCTTCAAGGCTATCCAAGTAAGCTTAGGGAGAAACAGAAAAATACACAGTTAAGGTTAGTTCTGCAAATAAAGAATGAAAAAATAAAAAAACCCAAACCATCTTCTTTCAAAAAGTGATTCCAGGATCCCAGACAAAGCAGTTTGTCAAGCAGTTTTTGAAAGGAATTAAGCTTCCCTACTACAGGAAGCATCACTCCAGAATGACAATCATGTGACAAGCTGAAGGTGAATCATGATGCAGTCACCTAACACTAGAAAGGCTTCCCAAATAAATGGTTTTTTAAGGTTGAAAAAGAGCACAGGCGTCTTGCCTTTCACTGTATGTAACATGCTGCCAGGCAATAGACAGCTTGAGTCTAGCAGCATATAGTGAAAAGAGGGACATGGGCTCTAGCACCCACAAGAAAAAACAAAACAAAACAAAACAAAACAAACAAAAACCCCAAAAAGGAAGAAGAAAAATATATTCTTTTTCTGGGTTTGAGAATTCAGCCTAAAAGCATGTCTCCAACTAGAGTCTGGGGAGCAGTCTAAGTCCTGGAACAACTTGTATTAAGCTAAAACACGTGATTTCTCATAGGTTAAACGTTTAGCATGTGCAAAATAAACCAACCTATTTTTCATCTTCGCCTTTATCAAAGGCAAAACCAACTTCAATTTCACAATGAAATTTGGCAAGCAACTAGTCAGAGAATAGTCTCACCAGGCTATAGCATGCATAAAGGCCAATATGGAATACATCACTGCCCTCTATCTCACAGCAAAAATGCAGGTTATCATCACAAACAAAATCCTTTCAAGGATTCCCTCCAAAATTAAGATTCAGGACACAAAATTTCTTCCCTTTTCAATATTGTCTGAGCAGAGTATTTCACTATTGCATGCTGAAAAACATACAGGTGAAATAGCAAGGTAATTCCCATGTGTGTTCATAACACATGTATGTGTCTCAAAATTTCGCTTCCTTGATTACCTGTTTGTATTTTCGGTAGCAACGCTGAATAACAGCAGCAGCCACCTCTTGCTGTTCCCGGAGAGGACGACCCTATGTGGAGAAGGAAGAGGCAGTAAGTAGTCAGAGTGCACCAGAAAACAGGACAGAGGAAGTGAAGCGGCTCACAGAAGCTTGCAGGGCACCTACTTCTAAATCTCTCCTATTGGTGCTACCCAGTCTGACTCGGGTCCAGGCATTTCCTGGAGAGATCTCTACTGTCAATTCACATAAGGGACAAACCCCCAAAATTGATCTTTACACCAAGCAGGCAACTAACCAGAACCCCTGGGGTACATTTCAAGGCCATGCTTTGTGAATGCTGTTCCGGGACACAAGGCATGCTATGGCACAGCATGTTCTCTCCAGTATAATAGCTGCTGCATAAACATCGACAAGCAAATGCTAGAAGCATTGAAAAGATTATGACAGGAACTGTATTTTTGTCTCAGGCATGGGTATTACCTATGTTTTGTTTTGTAACATCTTATGCTCTCTCACACCTAACAAGGAAGACACTGAACATTTTGGCCACGTACCTTATATTTCCTGAACACTGTCTGGACGAGTTTGGCAGCTTCATAGAGTTCTCTCTGCTCATGATCAGACAGAGTTAACTGTGCAAACTCATTTTCTACCTTCTCGCTGGTGGATGCACTCAGAAATTCAGACCAGTCTGCTGCCGAGGGAAGGCTGGGTTTCTCAAAAGCTATTTCACTGATTGGTGAGCCTGCAGGGCTCAAGCTGGTGTTCGAAGAAGGGGTCAGGGGTTCACTATACAGACTTCTGAAATACCAATCACAGTAGGAATTATTGGCTCACAAAGCATCTCAGCTGGCATCGCAGATAAGGACTACAACATTTCTGAGTTCAAGGCTCCCCTCCCTCTCTCCAACCAACACCCCATGTTCCTGAGGCTGCCTACACCACACTGCACAGACTTGGCACTGAAAGAGAAGTCACAAGTCAGACCTTGTGGCCGCTTTCCCCTCCTGCTGCATGTGCTCCCATTCTTCCATGAATCTGTAGCTGTGCTGGCAATGATATGTTTGACCATGAGAGTGTGTCTGGAACACCAACACTGAGTCCCACTGAGAAATAGCATCTGTAGGCTAAAGAATCCGTGCATGCTGCCCATCATCCAGACCACTCAAAAACCCAGAGCAACTTCACAGCTCTTACTGACCGTATCTGTGCAGCACTCGGCAGATGATCGACATCAGCAAGGTAACTGGCCAGCCAGCTCATTGTGGTGCTCATGGCAGCATTGTCTGTCCTCTCCACCAGCGGTGACTCCATTGGCACAAAATTCTCCCGCTTGATCCTGTCAGGCGTAGCTTCAATAATGTGCTCTGCAAGTGTCATCATGTTCACCTGGGAAGGGGAAGAGGAGACCAAACTTTTGCTGCCTGGTAGCAGGAGCCTTGTGCTTGCATGTTACAGCCCAGCTTTAGACAGACTGCCCCATTCTCCCCAAATTTCTGGTAGGTGGAGTCTATTGTCTGTCTCAGCACCAGAGAGAAATTCATTAACCAAAGCTCATTTGCTTTTCTGTCTCTTCTGACAAAGCACTGCAGGGTTTCATATTCCCGAGACCTCTTTTTCATTGAGTGTACAGGGAGCCTAAGAGATCTGGTGAAGGTTTATGTCACTGGACCTTTGCTGTATGCTACTCACAACTGTCACTATCTTGTTTCCAAAGGAAAAGTGATCTTGCCGTGCTTTTGCTATGATGTGCTGTAGAGTATGACAGGACAATAAAGGCACCTCAAGAGAAGTTAAAACCCTCAGGACCACAGCTTTGTCAGGAATCCTTCTGAGCCGTATTCCCCTGCCCGCCAAGGTTCACGGGAATTTTTAATAGAGAACATAAAACAATTCTTGTTTTGCAAAGATCTGCCTCATCCATGTATGCCAGTAAAATGAGAATATTTAGAGATGCCAAGGCAGTGCATGTAGGCTGTGCTCCCATTACTCTTTTTTGCTCAGAAGACCAAACACAGTATCTTTCCCCCAGTGACTACTTCTCACCTGTCTGTTGCACTTCTGTTGTGTTTTTATTTCCTCTATTCCACACTTCGTGGGATTTTTCTTTCCCCAGACCCACTGTCCCTCCCCTTCTCCACTCTTATCTCCTTGCCCTTTAAAGTGCAGTGGCTTGGCCTGCAACCACAGCACTGCCTCTCTCAGGTCACCTTGTCTTTGTAGGGACTGCTTCCCAGTTCCTGAAGGACGATGGGGCTACCTTAGTCTTGTTTACTGGTGTGACCAGAAGGCTCTGCTTTTTCCTTTTTTCTTGCAAAATTGCAAGCAGCTTTGTGCATTCTGTACACTGTTGAAGCGTACACCAGCACATGACCCTAAATGCTTGCCATTAGCCTTTGTGTCCAGGTTGAAAGGACACCCTTTGAAACCAGAATAAAGTACACATTGACTGTATGACCACCTCCTTTCACAAAGCACAATTGAGGGTCTGTAAAGGTCCCCAAAAAAGTTTCTCACAGTTAGGCTCCTCTGTGCAGCCACCACGTTCTCTGTGACTGCTGATCTTGGTGTTACGGGTATGTTTACCTGCAAGTCATCCATGTGGTGTAAGCAGTCCTCATCCCCTGCACTGTCCCTGTAGGACAAGAGCTCTGCATCCACCATCTCCCTGTCAGTCATCATCAGCACGTTCATCTGCTCTCGCTGGCGTAGCCGATGGGCTACAGTGTCCTTCCCCAGCGCAGCTCCCTTCTGGCTCCCTGCCACCTGCACTGCAGACACACCAACATAAATGTCTTTTGGGTTCCATTTGATGCCTGCTTGGCTGCCAGAGCCCCGGTACCCAGTAACTTCTGGGATGTGCTGGGAGAGCTCCCGGCCATAGTCCCTTATCCCTTCACTGGGGCCGATTGTCTCAGTGACAGATTGCTTGGAGCTGGAGTTCTGCTTCCTGATGCTTGGCTGTTCCAGGCTTAATGCAGTGGAAAGCAGCTTCTCTTGCCGGGCTTGAAAATATTCAGGGCTCAGCTTATGTTTTTTGGGTGCAGGGTAATCTTTCTGAGTCTCACTACTGTAGTAACTGGAAGGTTCTGATCTTGGTCGTCTCAGCTCTGGAAAGAAACAGATCCAATGGTCAAAACAAAACATGCAACCCATGATTGCTGTAGGAACTACCACAGCTTCTGCAGCAGAGCTGCAGGTGGAAGTTTGTGCCATGCTCTAGGACACCCAACAATACGTGCAAAAGGAGAAACTATCACCTGGGAAGGATACTACCTCAACCACTCTTAAGACACAAACATATTTCTAGCAGTAGGCATTCACTCCTCTTCCCAATACTCATGCAAGTGGATTGAGCATATGACAGAGAGCCCACAAGAAAAGAATTAAGCATGGACAGCAGGGCTACAGGTGGCATCTGCTGCCCAAGTGAGCTCCCTGCCCCCAGGCTTTCACATGTCAAATACCAGCAAAGCATTGCATGACCTCGGGGTTGTTTTACCTGTGTTCGTACTAGAAATCACAGTGACTCCCTTCTGAGGCTCCTGAGAGGCAATAAGCTCACTGTGCCACTGGGATGCCCAGTTCTCTGTGTTGGAGTCTGTGCTCGATGGGCACTGAATCCTGGGGTTTTGCCCAAGCTGAGTTTGCTCATCTCGCTGCAGCTGCTCCAAGCACTCTGCCAACTTCACGTGGCCTCGAGACCGGGCAATGGCCAGTGGCAGTCTCCCAAGAGAGTCAGGAATTGAGATGGCTCGGCGGTCCCACTTGTACAGCACAATAGCTGCATCCATGTGGCCTAGGGCACAAGCCCACATCTAAAAAAGAAAAGACAATTGACCCATTGGGTGATCTGTCTTCTCCTTCCTTTCTTGCTAACGCAGTGGAGTCTGGTCCTCAGCTCACAGAAGAACAACGCTGAGAAGCAAAACCATAACGTGCTTGAACCCCAGCAACTAACTTTTATAAATGTCCTGTCCTGACAAAAGACCATTACAGAGGATTAGGTGCATGCTATGCTCTCCTATGACAGAGAAACCTTCATCTGCCAAATGAAGCTGACAGGTTGACAGTTTCTTATTTAGTAATAAATATTTTTTGGCTTTTTTTTTTTTTTGACACTGGCATCACTCTGCAGAGACAGAACAGCCTCATACACAAAGGAATCTGCAATTCCTTTGGCAGACAGAAACAGGCAGACAGGACTAAAGGTTGGGAACAATAAAACCAACACTCTGCTTTTGTAAACTGGCACTTCTGGTTCCACCTGCTTTGGTTTTTGTTTGTCTAAGTTCTCATTATTCCAATGCCCAAGATACTGCACTGACTTTACAACCTCTACAGTCAGTCAGTTAGAGAACAACTTGAAAGAAGGCACAGAAAGCCCTTACCTCAGCACGACAGTGGAGATGAGACTAGATTTTGGGTAAAACACAAACCAGATCCACCTGACTGTACCCCCTCCTCCTGTTACTCGATGACAAGGTTTTTTTCTGTGTGGTCTCTCTCAACAAAATGCCAGGAAGCTGGCACTGCTGCGCCTTCTATTTACACAGCAAGGGCACACAAAAAACATCTACTCTTCCTAATGTGTGTGAAACACATTAGGAAAATAACACATCGGGAAGAACTCCAGAGGTTCCTCAGACTCTCTCAGAAGTTTCAGTCTCTGCTCTTACCAGAGGAGTGCAGGAGAAATGATCCACATTCAAAGGGTCAACTTCTAGCTCCAGATCAATGCTGTCTGCATGTTTGGTGCTGCAGAGGAAACAAAGAACAAATGATGCTCTGTAGCCATGTTAGGATCATTGCACAAATGCACAGCTTTACCCAGTGCACCATACCACAAAGAAGTGGCCATGCATATGTCCATGACATATATTTACTACAGATGGTGCCTCCACCAGAGACTTTAAGAGCATGATGGGACTCGCTCTCTTAAGAGACAGGTCCCATCAGTTCAGGGGACAGGAACAAGTTGAGGAACTTGGCTGTTTGTAAGGGACAACCAGAAATCTGGACCATGCAGAGCTTACATATGCTTCTGCCATGCCTGTACTGACACCCGAGTCCAACGGGCTGGGTCTTACCGCCATTTGATGAGGGTCTGGATCAGTGTAGCATAGCCCTGGGCAGCAGCCAGGTGGAGCAGTGTCATCCCTCGGAAAGTCTTTGAATGGATCAAGTGTTTGGACTTTGCCCAGCAAGCACGACTCATCATCTTCTCGCACACCACCACCACGCGGCTCTCAAAGCAGCTGCCCAGTGTCCCAGTCCCAGAAACGCACTGAAACACCACACACATCCCAGTTTAACCACTGAGGTGAGCTGCAACCTGTCCTGAGCAGGCAGCCTTCTGCTTCTAGAAGTACTGACACAGTGGCAAATGTGAGTGAAAGCCAACTGCTGTTAAAGACACCCACAAACCAGACCTGTTGTTTAGGAAGAACTATAATCCTTTCTGACCCCCCCCATAAAGCTTCTATGTCTGGACACAATTGGATCCATACCTGCACCTGTGTTCCTCCATTCCCATTCCCATTGCTCCCGCCGCCTCCTACTCCTTGTTTGTGCTGCTGGGAGCCTGTCATTTCAGCCATTCTCCTCTCCATCTGCTCAAGCCGTTCCAATATTGACATCCTGAACTGGTTATCTAGGTTGGAGAAAGACAGAATAAGGATATTTCAATGGAAAGAAAGCTCGGGTTTTTGCAGCCTGCTGCAGGAAGCCACAAACAACCACTCTGGAAGTCACACAGATTTGCTCTGCTTGGCAATGCAAGGGACACTTGCCCTGCAGCATCCTAGCTCTAAGTTCCTGCAGCATTCCTTTGACTGCAATTCCAGAGAACTTCCTTAAATAACATAGACAGGAAAAATGAAAAACGCGGACAGAAGACGGATCCCTTCCCTCATGATTCTAGCTGTATCCATACAATAAAGGACTAGGGTAATTCAGCTTCTTGCAAAACACAAGTAAACCATTCAGACAGCATTCCAGTAGGATGGTATCTGTCAAAGTACTCTGAATTTTAGAGTCAATCCCCCTGCTTTACAAGAGCCCTGAATTCATCTTGGCTTGCCTCCTGAAACTAATGGCCCCTGGAGGAAAAAAAAGACTCCTCTGCTTCCTTCTGTGCCTAGAAAAAGGAGCCACTGAAAAGGCACTTGCTCCTTCCCTGACAGGCTCCCTTTCTTGGAAAACAGCTTCAGCCAACTGACAGAAATAAAACTACCAGAAACCACAGAGTATGGGCACTGATAACCCGGTAACATAATTCTGTAAAGCAGTACAACTCGAGTCCTCTGGTCTCTGCCAAAGTCTAAAGGCTACGTTAGATATTTTTTCCTCCTTGCATTGTAACCTCGTGCTATGATACAGCTACTAATGCTTGAATAGTGGAGCAGGGAGAACTAGATGGGTTAACAAGACATAGCTAAACCTAATGCTGTAGAGATCAACTCAAGTCATCATTTTGTGTTTAGGGACAGTCAGTGGCAGCTTGAGTGGCTGCAAACACACAGGGCTGCTTCTGCCTTGTAACAACAGATAAAGGATCAAGGAGCGTGGCCAGCACTTGCCCTCTAACCTCATTTCAGAGGTGAGCTCACTATGGTCTTTTCTCAACTAGCCCAGAATACTATTACTTTTTATTAGCGTCTTATTAATAATTCAGTTGTCCTGTTAATTGCAAAGCCTCTGGGAAGTGACTGACAGTGACATGAGGAAATATTCATAACGCAGGTGCACTCTCAGGGCCCTGTCTCTGAACTGCTGTCAGCACACAGCAGCAACACAAGTCATGTTTTCCCAGCAAGTCTTTGTTCTGCGAGTGCTGCAGTATGCTGCAGTGCAGTCCATGTCGCTGTCTCCTCCTTCCCCATTGCCAGGCGGAGCACGTAGGCTGCAGAGACTGACAGAGACCCGGCACCGCTGAGCCATCCCCTCTCACCACAGGCCTGTGCCAAGCAGAGCTACTGAAACTCAGGCACCAGGAAAAGGGGCCAGGTTTGCCACGCAGGCTAACAGCTCCGTCCTGCACATTTCATGCCATCTCTCTAGTTGGGTGGCCAGCACTTGGATTTTATTAGAGCGAAGAGTAGCGACACCAGGCATCGTATCTGAGCTTTCAACCTCGTACAGGCAAAAGTAGCATCTTTAGATCTAAACGAAGGAGACATCTGGCTTGAACTGGTGTTATAGCACAACAAGCCCAGGGCTGCAACGTACTGGGGATTTGCTCCTACCCATTGAGCTGTCAAAGGAGAATAATTACAGTCAGAAACAGCAGAAGAAAAACTATTCCAGTGAGATGCAGAAATACACTGTGCAGATCACTATTTTTTCCCCCAAGCTGAAACCATTGTGGAACAGAAATGTCAGGCCCCATGTTTGTGTCCATTTTCCAAGCTCTTCTCTAGACTCTGTGCTCTCTAGTGAATGAAGCCTCTACCTTTCCTGACACCAAGCTAAAGACATTGAGCACTTCCTGGCACTTCTTGTTGGAGAACTGGAGTTACTAAAGGGATGTCTGTCACCAGCACTGTCCCCAGATGGGAACACTAAAACAAAGAAAGAAAAGTAGGGAAATTTTCGTAAGAAATAGAATTTGAAACAGCATTTAGTGCTCCCACATATTCCGCTACTGACACCTGGATAGTGCTCCCGGGAAGTATCTAGGGCAGGATTACCTGATTTTAGGTACCAGAGTGTATCTGTTTGACTTAATGAGAGTCTGAAGGACAGACATTATAAACTCATCACAGTCTTAAACCTGTAACCTTCAGCATCTTAACTAAGACAATGGTGTTTTTCATAGATGCTTGTAATTTGCTGCTCAGTCTACAGGCAGGTCAGAAATATGCTGCTATTAGTTCAAAATGAGAAGTGGAAACAAACATTCTGGAGCACTTAGCAGAGAGTGAAGGGAGCCCTTTCCACATCTAGCAGAGACTGACGGCACCTACCCAGCAGCTCCAGGCAGTAAATCAGGTAAGTGGGGAGGTAGTGCACGGCAAGGATCTCTATGCTGCCCCTTTTCCAGGTGACTGAACTTGCTACTGAAGCAGCTGGAACAAAGCCACTACTGAGGGAAATTTCCAAATTATTTACACAGAGGTTTCCATAATAAATTCTGGGGTATCAAGTACACCAAGGTGTCCCCTTCAAAAGTGACTTGAAGAGCCTGCATTGCACTAGTCTACCAAAAAAAAAAAAAAAAGGGAGAGAGAGTACAACTTACGTCACAGAAAGTGGCATGAAAACATCTTCTATCCTTTATATAGTCCTGGGGTCCACAGGGACAAAAGAAGAGTCAGCTTTACATACCACATGAGTTGTACGCGATACACCCAGTTGATCTTTAAAACAGGTGTGTCTGTATCCACGTTAGCAGCCTGAACAGAAGGATGACGGCCACAGCTGTGTAAAAGTTAGAGGAACTAGACAGAAAACCTCTCACAATTTGGGAAGCAAAAGGTTGCACTTTTTTGTGTGTGTGTTATGTACCAAATATAACTGAGGTCTGAAACAAGCTCGTCCAGCTCAAGAATGAAGGTATCAGAAGACGCCAAAACGCATTTTTAAAGCAAAGTAGCATTCTCCATCACAAAGGGAAACCATGTTTTCTCGTAAAGAAAACATGACAAAACCTGATGCAGCCCTGCTGACTCTCTAATGCATTTTCCCGTGAAAACCCCAATTGTCAAAAAAGCAATGTCAGCAAAGCCCAAACACCACAAACAGGATGAAAATGAAATGCAAACAAAAAAAGACAAGCTGCCTCAAGTATGCAACTCACCTTGCAATAATTAAGAGATGAGCTACGAGAGCCGTAGGGCTGAATGTTACAGGTGTCACTCTGAGAAGTTCGAGACCCTTTATCCCTTATTATTTCTTATTTTGCTAGTCACACTCTTTTCTGTCTTGCTCACTTCAGGGACCTGTGTAGAGCCACCTGCTTAGCGGGCAATTAAGTTACAAGAACACAGTTTCCACATTCTCGTCTTTTATATTCCAGAGAAGATCTATCTTGCAGTGCACTGAAGACAAGAGCTCAAACAGCGTAAGAATCAAGTTGTCAAAACAAGCTTTTCTCCTGCTACATAATACAGGAAACATAAACAGCTCCAGCCCTGCACAAGGAGACGTCTTGCACTGGAAGCGCTCTTTCCAAAGCCAGCAAAGATGCAAGCAGATACAAACACACCCACTTATTTAAGGTTTTACACAAGGACTCTGCTTTTGATGGTAAAACTTCAGATTTCTTTGTGAGCCAAAAGATTAACACTTGCAAATTTTTCCACTTCTTGAGGTTTTCCATTACATATGAATCTGAAGAAACGTTACAATGTTCTTTAAGAAACTACCAATGTTTCTGAAGCTGTTCTTCAAGGCTGCCTCCACTGAAGGAGATGAAAATGACCGCATTTCTATATCTCCAAGGCACCTAATAAATTCACAGAAAACATTCCAAACATTTTAGCTCGTCTGGAAATTATTATTCTTCAAATTTAACAATAAAAATGGAACATCAAAATTACTTTTCACCATTATTCCTTAGTGTTACAGGAAGAGGTGGTGGCTTTAGGCCCTAAGGACCTATTCTGTGAACAGACCAAGCGCTGGCAAGGCAGGACAGTCTGGGCTCACAGAGCTTTTCCACCACCAGCAGCTTTCACCTGATGGGAGCTTGGAAGCTTTTGGGATCTGGTGGAGCTACACACATCCACTGGCTCACGCTTCACCTCTCTTGCCCTGCACCTTCTGTGAAACTCTAAGCCCCAAGCACGCCCCTGGGTCACAAGTTAATTGAGGGATCTGTTCCCTCAATTTTTCCTGTGAGGGATCGCGTGAAAAGCCATTTTCACTTCTGTTGTCCTCAGTCCTTCATAGGGAAGTAAGAAGATATTCCGTGGATTTAAAACCAAGCCTAGGAAACGCAGCAAAATTATTAATGGTGGTATTTATTTGCAGGGTCTTGATCTCCTGCGAAAACCAGTTGTTCCAGTGTCAGGTCAGGGCTGGGCTGCTCCACAGTGCCAGCAGCCCAAAGGGAGTCTGCCTGTCCCTGCAGGGAGGGACTGGGAAGAGCTGCTTGGTCAGATTTTGACCAGTACTAAGAAATTGGTTTGAATCATACTCATGAATCATCGTTTGAGTGCAGAACAAGCTTCTTTTAAATATGTACTCAGAGGGAGTCTATGACTGATTACAGTAACAACAGCAAGTTACGGACAAAACATTTCTAGGGATGCAAAACTACTCTGATAAAAGTCTTTTAAGGATGCACAGTTACTGATGTCAGTTAGCATTAGAGCTGCAGTGCATACACTTGCACAGTTATGCCCAGACAACCTGATAGTTTCATGTCAACAGTTTCTTTTGAAAGGGCTGGTGGTTTGAACTGGTGGTGTTCTCTTAGCCCAGGTCCCTTCACTGATGAATTTAAAGCAGACCTGTAACAACAGCTCTAGGAGCCACCCAGCAGGCACAGTGAATGGAAAACGCAGCAAGGAGTTAATCTAGTTTAGCTTCCAGATGCTGAGAGTCATACCTCCATTTTCTCCCTTAGCGTCCTCCAATAAATACTGAATTTCCTCAGTACAATTCTAAACAGCTAGCCATTTATGTTAGCCAAGCTTTC